GTTTGGGGAACTGTGGGATTGCATCTGAAATCACTACTTATCTCTTTTTGTCATTCACGTCTAAAAAAGACTTGTGGTGTCAGTCATGTGTCACTGCGCGTCATGTGCTTTTAAAAAGACTGACTAAAAGCTGAACCTTTAGTTAATTTTAGAAGAAACCCATTTGTAGTGCATTACATCTATCAGTATGCTGTGACTTACACTCAGGCCAATGCCAAATTTCTGATTATACTTTTGATAAATTAATCTGGATGTTTGGGACAGAACTGAGTTGAAGGCAAATAAAAAGATAACAAGCCAGAACTTCCGACTGATTATATCTTAGTGTGTAAAAGAGTATAGAGCAAGGTTGTTTTCTCAAGGTAATGTGCAAATTTACTTACAGTTAGTCAAAATATTCATTTCTTTGGTTACACAAAGCTCAGCTTTTATTAAGACTAAAGGTTTTTACAACATTAACCTCTTTTACTATATAAGGCTGGGGATGCGTCTGGTAAGTTTCATTAACAGCTGACGAGTCAGACACACTGATTTAGCGTTGCTGTGCAAGATGACTACCAGGACAAGGATGACATTGATTCTCTTCCCCCAGCTGGAGGAATAAAAGTGTCAGTTTGTGCAGCAGAAGTAGTAGATATTTACAGTCAGGAAGTGAATGTAGGTCCTGTGGCTTCTTTTACTTTCCTGGAGAAACCCCTTTTAGTCCCGCTGCTTTATTTTCTTTACATCACAAACAAATGCGGTTCGGGGAGATGGAGAAGTAGAGCTGATCAGTTTCATCGTGCCTTTTTAAATTCTTGTTTATAGGCAATTCATTCATAGAAGGAAAAAGAGAAGTGGAAGTTGGTGGTCTACTTTCTGCTGACAGGAAAATTTCTCCGTTGGACTCTTTGAATGGGGTTTATTTTTTGCTTAATGTGATGACTTCAGTAGCTGTTTTCAAGACAAGATTTAATGCCAGGCTCTGGAGATTTTACCTGCGTCTGTTACACAAATGTGTGTGTGTGTGTTTATATTTCCTTGGCTGTGTAAGTGATGGTAGGGAGAATGAGGTGTGAAGCAGACGACTGGAAGTAAATCAGACAGTCTGTTAGGTGGTTGTGAATATCCATTATGCTTCATCAGGATGGACAAACTGGAGTCATTGGGCGTGTGTGTGAATGATGAATGACTGTATGAGTAATGACTGAAGTTATGAGGTCAGTGCTGCCCCTGAATATCTGGGGCTTTACTGTGTGAGTGTGTATATATCTCAGCTCAGAGTATGTTTTACTCTATGCATCTTTATGTTGGAGAGGCAGTTTCCATGCTTACACAAGGCTTTCTGCCATACTGACACACGCGCACAGAAACAAGCATACACACGGACAAGTGGTTGATTGTTTTCTGGATTCAAGATGGAATTTTTCAATTTAACATTTTATCCCCGCTGGGAATCAACACCTTATTCCTCCTACATTCCTTTGGGGAACAGAAACCACCGACTGTGTTTGTATAACTGTGTG